GGTCCGTACCATGTAAAGCGGGTATTCGGGGAAGGCACATATGAGCTCGAAACTTTGGAAGGGAAGCAGGTATCTTGAGCATGGAACATTGATAACCTAAGAAGGTACTACTTATGAGCCTGTGATTCCAAGGCAAAATTTCTCTAAGTCTATGTGACCACCGAACTGGTAAAAAAAGACGACTGATTGGAGAGAGGACTTTGAGTCACTCCCAGAAGCCTAAGGGCTACGGTGCCGAGCTGACAAAAAGGCCTCGGCACTACAATAAGTCCTAGTCGCCTCTTCGGCATAGGCAGACAATTCCCAGTCGCCTCTTCGACATAAGCAGATAAGTCCTAGTCGTCTCCTCGGCATAGGCGTAACGATTCCCAATCGCCTCTTCGGCTTGGGCAAGTAAGTAGCCCGCGCATAGACAGGTCGGGTATATACCCTACAGTGTCTATCCACCTCGGTGTACACCAAACACAAGGTTGTTCCTACCTGGAGTCCAGTTCGCTAGTCTGGCACTTCGGGATGACCAACACTTAGAAAAAATTTTTACTTAGAAAGATTTTTGCACATATAAGACTTTTTGAATCGTTACATTTCATTAACAAAAAGGTTCTGAATACATGGTTACTATAACCGGGCTCAGAGGCCCGGGACATACACTATATGGGGGGGGCCAAGAAAAAAGGCATGATTAAACATCAGATCTGCCAGAATCCCCTCCATTAGGTAGGTCAGTCACCATGTGGTCCTCCTCCACGTCATCTCGACCTGCCTCTCCTGACGGTCTCGCCTCGAGAAGTTCGTCATCGCTTTCTCCCTCGGAGGAGTCAGGTTCCTCGACAGCCTCGTTCGCCATCTCTGGAGTAACGGTGGACATGGAGATGGATCCGAAATCGAGCTCGGGGAACTTCTACCGCATCAACCACTTTCAGAGCTTAAAGCCCGACCGGTAAGAGCCAGAGCCATACTTGCCCTGGAGGTCGTGAAACTCGGGGGACTCCTTGAACTCCTTGATGGCGCGATCTCTTTCTTGAATCCTCGCCTCCTGAATGGCGGTGTTGAAGATTTCGGTGCGCTCCTTGATCATCGCCTCAAGGTTTTCATTCTCCTAGAGGAGAGCTTCCTTCTCCCCCTTGAGCTTCTTCTTTTCCTCTGTAAGCACTAGGATTGGCTCCTCTTGGCTCCGAGCTCCCTTCTTGGCTCTAAGAACTTCACCCCGAGCTAAATCCAGCTCGAGGTAAAGCTTCTGGGCATTCTCTTTGGCCTCCTGAGCTCGTTTCAAGCAGATCTCAGATTGGTAGACTAGCGAGTAGATAGCGGAGTTCACCTAAAAAACTGAAAGCAAGTGTAAGTAGCATTGACAGAAGAATAAGAAAGTAAATGGAGGGGTAGGTTACTTACGACCATACAGTAGCTAGCTGCTCTCCCTCCGAGCTGACTTGTTGGCGTGTCAGCCCACTTCGCGACCTCCGCAGGAAACACGACATCTTTGTTCTTAAGAAACTTGAGCCTCGGAGTCCTTATTCTCTCCTTCACCGAGGGGGGCTGAGGCTCAGGCACCGAAGTACCTTTGGGCTCGCGAGGTGGGGTCCCCTCATCCCGATCCTCGTCCAGGTCAACAACCGGAGGTTGGGGGCGAACCTCCTCCCCTAGGAGCTCAACAAAGGGTGGCTCTGGCGCTGCGACCTCGGGTTCGCTAGGAACCGAAGAGGTGGCCTCCTTTCGATAGGACCTCTTCGAGGCCTTTCTCTTCTTCCCCTTCTGAACACTCTTTGAAAGGTTAGACACCCGTCATAGTTTCTGCAAAAGAGAAGAAAAAGTGTTAGCTGCAAACTGAAGTAAGTGCAAAAAGGAAAAAAAGAAAAGTAATGTGTGTGTTAAGGTGGAGGCCTATCAGGAGGACTCATCCCAACTCGTGCAAGCTTCTCCTCGGCCAATAAATCTTCCATCTCAAGAACGAGGTCCCTCCAAGAATGGATGACCGCCCTGGTCTTTGCATCCAGCCTCACCCCGGGGTCCTTAATGGCCACTCACCAGTGAGTCGGGAATGGCCATCCTTCAAGGTTCCGAACAAAGAAGTACCTCCTCTTCCAGGCCGATACCTTGAACCCGGGGCGAGGTGAGATATAGTAGCTCTGCCGGGTGTCCCCATGCAGGCAAGAAGAATTCTTCTTAATGGAATAGATTGAGCTAAAGATGTCTCAGGTATGAGGTCGGTTATACTCGTGGAAGAGTGAGATCGTACCAACAATGGTACGGATGGAGTTCGGGTGTAACTGGTCAATAGTGACGTTAAAAAACTTAATGATTTCTACGATGAAGGGGTGGAGTGGGAAGCGTAGCTCAGTTACGAGCTGCTCCTCAAAAACCGCGAGTTCGTGATGATCGTGAACCCAAGGGTACTGACCCAAAGGAATGTTGAAAACAAGAGTGTCGGGGAGACGGTAACGAGCTATCAAGGACAATAACCTGTCCGAGGTCATCGTGGAAGGGCCGAATTTGTCCAGATCTCGACCTCGAGTAGAAGACGAGACCCCCTCTCTGAAGGTCGGCCTCTCTACTTGAGGTTCGGGTCCCTCAAGCCGAGATGGCCCGACGTCAGGTAAAGGCATTTCTCCTGAAAGGTTTAAAGAGGAATTCTCTAGCGAAGAGCTGGCCTTGCCAACGGGAGCTGAAGACCACACCTCGGCACCCCCGGGCTTGCTAGAATCACTAAGTAACCCATCTATGCTAGCACTAGACATATTGGACAAGAAAAGGAAAAGGGAACAACTAGTGAAAGAAGACGAACTCACCAAAGAAGGCGATAACAACCTCGGACTCAAGGGAGAGAATGGTGAGCTGAAGGACTCCGACGCGACCTCAAGAAAGTTCAGTTACACGATTTATGGTGAAGCTAATGGGCCCTTCGGCCCCCTATTTATAGTCCACCACATCCGGCAATCGACGGTTGAGATCTGTGCGATCCGATGGCTCCCATGAAAACCAGTTGCACACTACCTGAGGACGAAATCGGTTGGGTGCGCCCTTTGGCGTCCGCGGAATTTATAAATAGTGTGACGTCCGCGCGTGACCGAGACTCGATCTGGGTCATTTTATGGTTGAGCCAGATGACTGAACAGGCCCGACCAATGGTCCGCCCTCCAAGTCGCCTAGATTCGTGCCAAATCCACCTGGACTCGTCATGAACTCCCCGCACCGGGTCAAGGCCCCTAGCACGAGGACGGGGGGGCAATTGATGAAGGGTGATTTGGCACAACCTAGTAAGATGGGGCCACGTGGACGCGATCTGCTCAAAAGGTGACAACTCAGCCAAAGGAACCCAGTTCGCAACATTTGGAACTCGGATATTCAGTCACCTCAATCGAAAAACCACTTTGACGTAAAGACACTTCAACACTCAATCCAGTTCGGAATTAAAGAACCGAAGTACCAGTTTGGAGTTAAAGAGCCGAAACGCCACGTAATTGACTCCAAAGGCCTCCCCAACCCCGAATTTCTTCGGATCACAACGAGACTCATCCTAACTCCGCCTGAATCGGAGGTAAATGATAAACCTTATCAACACATTGCTCTCCTTAAAAAACGGAATAGATCTTTATCTGCACACCTCGGAGATACCGGATCTCTTTTGTAAGACCCACGACTACTCCATTATATAAGGACATGAAACCCCAAGGCAAAGGTACGGGTGATTATTTACTCACTAGCATTCATCAAGTATTCAGTTCGATACATCCACAGTATCGAACTGAATTAAGCATCAGAACGACCTCGCCAGATTAGCCACCCCGTATTCTCTGATCTACTATTTTGCAGCTTGGTCTAGCTCACCGCGCAACTGGAATTCGGATAATCTTCTAGATAGGAGTATCTAGATCGCGCACCATGAAAGTGATTTTGTCTTTGTAGAAATAGTCATAGATATCACAACCAGCCATTCATTAGGATCCTTTCTTGGAGGTAGTTTTACAACTTTCCTCAGCTTTACAGGTCCCTCGAGCTGAATTTGCAAGCAGCCATTTTCACTTTGTAACTTAATTAGATTACATTATGTCAAGGGTAAATTTTATAGCGAAAAAATTGATTTTGGATTCAAGGAACAGAGAGAGTGAGAGAGACCACACTTACCGATGCAACACTTGTATGTCGCGCTGTTGTCGAACTCAGATTGGATGACATGGTCAAACTGTTTTAATGGTGACATAGTAACATTTCTGGGTTACAATGCCCAAATCTTAATTTTCTAAAATGTTGTTTAAAACTATTATTCACCAGGCAATTCTCTGAAAACTGGATGGTTTTTACTCCACTGTCCAAATTTCTGGAAATTGCCTAGGTTAACATATGAGAGAGTTTTTTTTTTTTTTCAATTACATCCTAAAGTTTTCAACCTGTGTCTTGTATTTGTAATTTAAGGGATAAATCACTGGGCTACAAGCCTAGTGCTTTATTTGCTGTCACTCCTTGTGTTTGGAAGGCCTGGTTCCCAATGGATTTTATTTGGGGCTGCAAATGCTCCAATCTAACAATGACTTGTAGTTTCGGAGTATGTACTTCATCAACTAAAGTGTACATATAAAACTTCATAATATTGAAATTTTACCCAGAATAAGGATGCCTGTAATAAAAAATGAAAAATGTAGAATTCAAATTCTTTGGGTAAAATACTTTTCTTATATCACTAGAACGAATGGCAGAGAATAAGCACATGGCTTTTAGATAGACTCCAACCATGTGCTTCAAATACTAATTGGGATAGACAGTGGTGTATTAACTTTTGCACTACCTCTGTTGGTGTCAACATATCAAGCTTCAAAAGGTTTAGTATCATGTTAGGTGAACAATTTAAATGGATGAGTACCTGCTTTCTTACAGGCCGGAGTTCTTCACTATAAGGAACACCATCCACCAGAGTAACAAAGGCATAAATCCCTTGTTCTTTGAGCTATTACAGTATGATAATGCCCAAGATACAGAAAAATTACAAATAACAAACAAGTATGTTAGAATAGCTTGGCCAATGTATTTGGCACTAATAAAAAAAAAAAAAAAAGTTGGCTGTCACTGGAATTAGAATAGCTTGGCATGTTGCTGCATTCCACTCCTCATAGTTGATTCTCCCATCTTGTAGGTTTAATAGGCGTCAATGCCATTTTTAATTCTGTAGCATGACACTTTCAGGTTTCAGTTTAGAGAAAACTTACGTTATCTGTATCCACCTCTGAAATTATTTCCCTAATGCTGGCTTCATCACCCTTTCCGTATCCTTCATAGCTGTTTCCAATTCATCTCCTGTAATAAACCTGCTTAGAATGCATGGTTGAACAAAGTTTTAATAAATAAATCAGATGCCACCCAAATAAATCAGTTTTAATAAATCTTGTGTAATAAACCTTCATAGCTATGCCTGTAAACGGAGCGAATTCGACTCGAATCACACTAAGTTCGATTTCGAATTCGATTGTAAAAGTGATGATTCGAATTCGATTAAATATTCGGCGGATGTGAAGACTTAACAACTGAATTTGATCCGACTGGTTAATCGAATATTCGAATTCCATTAGTTATTTGAATCAATATAAAAAACTCAAAGTCTTGAACTGTAACAACAAGCCTCTATTCACCATAAACAAACAACTCAGGCAAACAAAAAAAGACAGAAAACAAAACACCTAAAAAACTAAGCAAAACAAAGAACAACAAATGAAAAAAAAAAAAAAAGAAAACAAAACACTTAGAAAATCTAAAGCAAGCAACTAAGTCTCTAGTCACAATAACAAATCCCTTTACCGTAGAGAGAGAAAGAGAACAGAGGGAGAATAAAGAGAGAGAATGAGATGGGGGAGATGAGATGAACAGTACGCTCTTGGTAAATGTAAAAGTAAACTTAGCGGTCTTATCACTCAGAAGATAATCGAGTGTTTTGTAAGAGATATGTCGGTAGGCTATTGGTAAATCGGAGATGAACAGTACGCGAACTATAAAAAACCTGTATCTTGTAAGAGATATGTCAGATCAGAAAGCGTTAAAAGGAGATAATAAAAATATATTATATAATATAATATTTATATTTATAATATAATCAAATTCGAATATTTATCGAATCGAATCGAATTAAATTCGAATTTGACTTGATTAATTAATCGGTAGAAAATGAATATTCGAATTTGACTGTTTATACTATTCGAATCATCCGAATTCGAATGACTCCTTTTAGCAAGGAGGTTCTTGTCTCAATTCCTATTTTTTGAATTTTGAATTCTTGATTGAAGTTGTTGACCTTGAACATACCTACAGGAGACATATCATTAGAAACCTGTTTCTAAAGATTGCTATCTTTAGATATATCATATCCTACAAAGGATATATATCATTAGAATCCAATAATACATGGTTTGTAACTTCTTATTTGTCATTGTCTTATGCCAATCCCACCTAGGGATGTCAATGGACTAGATATTGATTGGTCCAATCCGATCTGGTCCAGTATGAGCCCATTACAGATGGATCAGATCCAATCCAATCTAATCAATTGAGAATGGGGAAAGTAACCTTTGCAAGGCTATGCAAGATTATTCGTGAGATAGGAAGACTACATGATACAATGAGGTGCATGGTAGAAGAACAATTGGCACGCTTCCTACACGTACTGGTACACAATGTTAGGAATAGAACAATGGGTTTTCATTTCAGTCGGTCTGGTGAGACTGTGAACCATCATTTCAACAACGTATTGAATGCATTGTTGAGCTTGGAGGATAGGTACTTGATTCAACCAAGTGGTACTGAAATACCTCCAGAATTAGAAACCGATATGATTCTTGGCCATTTTTCAAGGTAATTAATTGATAAAGTCTTCTTTATGACATATCCATAAAAATGAATAATAAAAAACTTAAATCTACTGGCAGGATTGTGTTGGGGCAATCGATGGCTTACACCTCCCTATGAAAGTCCCTTCTACTGATGTTGCTAGGTTTCAAGGTCGTAAATCTTATCCCACACAAAACATCCTTACTACATGCACTTTTAATTTGTGGTTCACATATGTATTACCTGGTTGGGAGGGTGCCGCATCGGGCTCTCACATGCTTAACAGAACAGAGATATCTGTGAACGACAACCTGAAAACAGGTGGGAGCTAAATGTGTTCCTAGATCGAGTGACTCATTCATTGTGATAGAAGGTGATTGGGAATAAGGGAATTGTCGCCACTGGGTCACTGTGTCAAGACGGGGAAGAAGACGAATAGTGTAGGTTTTTGGATTCAAAACGAAGAAAGGGGAGAAGAAAATGAGGAAGAGGGAGAAGAGAGAGAGAGAGAGAGGAATCGGATGTGAATGGACTGCCGCCGTCATCACCCCTGTTTCTTTTGAACATGGAAGATGATGAATAGTAGATTCGGTGGAAAGAGAAGAAGAAGAAGAAGAGAGGGAAAGAGGATGAGAGAGGGGAAAGATGGCCGGAGGTGGGGAAGAGGAGATTGCCACCACTTGGTTTCAATTTGAAGAAGAAGAGGGTGAACAATAGATTATCTCGAATTGAAAACTTAGGTGTGATTTTATTTGTAGGGTTAGGGGCATTTTGGTAAATTTAGGAAAATCCTGGGGCATTTTGGTAATTTTTGAAAAATTGGATAAACTCGGGTCTATGGGGTCAAACCGGGTTTTTAGTTCAATGGTGGAGATTTTTGGGTCAAATATCAGAGGGTTGAGGTGGCCCTAACCGTAGAGAGTGGTTTTGTGTATGTGGGTTTGGTTTGAGGGTAGGTATTTTGAGAGGCCTTGAGTTTGAGGGTGGGTGTCTGGTCTAAGGGTCAAAGTGTAGACGGGGGTTGATCATGTCCATTGGATTGGTATCGGGCAAATTTAATGGTGGGTTTTAGAGTTTTTGATCTAGAATCTGGGCTATTTGGGTTTTTTGGGTGTTTCAAAGAGATCAGAATGGCTTGATTAGGTGTTTGGAGTAAATTGGAGGCTTAGGCAATAGACTGAGCAAAAAGTTATTCTTAAAATTACTATTACAATCACATAATTCCTCACGAATTTGATTTTACCTTTGTTATAATAAATAACTTTTTTTTTTAACATTTTCATCTATTAAGTTTGTTCCATTGCCTATTTTTTGGAAGGACATATATAAGTGAAATGTCCTCTCTTTCTGCATTAAAAACACTCTCTTATTTGGATCCCATTGCTACTCATTTCATGTGAAAAAGTGTTGCAGGTTTTAAACCCTTTCTATCTTGTGGATTGTAATAGTTATGTGTTAAAGTCACCATTTTAATTTCTTTAAAAGCTAAAACCAAGAATCTTTTTACTCACTTATGAGAGATTTTTTTTTTTTTTTTGTAATTTCTATTCCACCTTTAGAACCATTTGGTATACTTTATAAGGGATGCTTAAATGGTGAAATATTTGTTTATCTTGGATTGAATTACTTATGAGATTCCATCATGGGTATTTTGGGATATCTTGTAAATGAATTAAATAAGATTATGTCTTTTAATCTCAACCGTTAGAGGTGTTAGAGCATAGACTTGTAAACTGCCATAAACATGGTTTAATTTATCCTAAGTCCATCTAATCAGGTTTTTTCTAATTTAGACAGTCATGTATATGGCTTATAGATGGTCACTCATGATGAATCCATTTCTCTCTCCTCAAACTCTCTCCTAGATTTTAGATCATTGGCTTCTAGGGAACTATGACGAGGTTTAGTCTTCCCCTAGCTGGTTCTATCTATATTTTCTTAGACCATTAGAGATCGAACCATTTCAACCTTGTTCACGGTCTTACATGAGGTTTCTTAGATTCAAGGATTAGAATCTTATAAGTTTTTTTTGTTCTTTCTTATCTTTTGAGTAAATCTGAGAAAAAAGGAGGTAAAGGGACAAGGACAATAAAGGGTGTATGTGTAGAATTGAAGACTTTGTAGCCCTATTTAAAACTATATAAAATTTGTATTTTTTTTTTCATTTTACTTTTCATTATATTTTACTTGTGGATGTTTTTTAGGACTGTTTCACTTGATTTGAGCATACACATTAGGAGAACACATTATGAGATTTAGGGGAGGTTCTACCATTTGGTATGAAGTAAAGACGTTTAAAGAGAAACTTCAATTCACTTTGTGGCAAACAAGAGCGAAGGATTTTCTTGTGGGTAGGATATTTTTGTATCATTGGATGGAAAAAATAATAAGTTGTTAGACATGGCAAATTCAATTTGGAAAGCATATGAAAAGAAAGTAGTTAGAGTCATGGTTTTTAAAAATGAACCGGTTATCGGTTCGAACAGCCGGCCCGTTCTGACAAAAAAATAAAAAGGATTTAAAAAAAAATAAAAAATTGGAAAATGGTCAAAGCTGTACGAACGGTTAACTGGACGGTTTAGTGGTTTACTGACCAAAATCAACGGTTTTGGAGAAAAAAGCAGTTTTAAAGGAAAATGGAACCGATCAGGTGACCGGTTCCCAGTTTTTCCGGTCTGATCCAATTTTGAAAACAGTGATTAGAGTAATAGAAAATTGTTTGGCAGTTGAAGTTATTTGTCATGTGATAGGCTTAAAAAATAATAACAGAAATTTGCAAAAGTTAGAATCCTTGAATATATAAAGTCTATGTATACATGTTTATCATATGGTTTTTGTAGCAAAAATGGATATGATTTGAATAGAAATGGAGGCGGTGGTCCTTTTCTTGTTGATGTTCTTGAAGAATACTTGAAATTTGAGGTCTGTTGCCCTAAATACCATCCTCAGTATTTAGTTTGGTACTAAATTTTTAAGGGTAAATTTCTATTCAAAAGGGCTATCTAGGAAAGTTTGCAATATTTTAAAACTTTGTCTGGAGGCCGGACTACTTTTCCCACCAGGTCATGGGTCAGTGGTTCAACGCACAGGTCAACTATTCAACCCATGAAGCGAACAAGGTTGTCGAGCAACTGAAGAAATTAAACCAAAGTTTCAGCTAACAACTTCTTTTCTTTTTTTTTTTTATGTGTTCAAGAATAATTTCAATATATATCAAAAAATCTAAAAAAAATTCAAAATCTTTAGAACTTGGAATGTACAAAATGATTCATTTGTCTTGATAGATTAGAAAGGCTTGAAAATGTTGCATATGGCCCATGGACATAAAAGCTTACACCTACATGCTCAATTCCAAAAAAAGGTCCATGAACTATGAGTTTAAGTATGTTCTAGCAAAGCCAAACAAATAATTTGTCCATCATCATCATTTAAGCTAAACCTGTGCTATTCTTTTTCATGTTTTTTTTTTTTTAATTTCACATCCTCTTTCTGAATAGTATATTTAAGCTATGTTTGATTTGCTGATTTGGGCCTCATTTTTTTTTTTAAAATTCTTACTGATTCTGCGTAAGAATGGGCAAGAATGAATAACATTAAAGCGTTTGGTTACAAAATTCTTGCCATGGGTGTCATTCTTTTCAGAATAAAAAATCAACCCATAGCACAAAATTGAGGCATCTTGTAGCATGAAAAATAATCATGCCCCATCTTGGTCATTTTCATTCTTTAAAGAAACTTTATGCCAAGGGTCATTAATCACCGTCTTAGGTCTACAAAACCACCACCATTAATGTTTATTGGTGGATTGTCGTGAAAACTTATGCCAACGGGTATTGACTTCCGGCTATCCATTGGTAAATATCTATGCAACGATTTTGGAGACGTAGATTGGCGGTTTATGACCGCTAACACAGTTTTGTCTAAGAATTAAAATAAGCAATATAGGGCATTGGCTAGTTTGAAAACAATTCATTTTTAAGATAAAAATGTTTGGTTTATAGCAATATTTTCTCATTCTACCCCTTTTTATCCATTATTATCTATT